CATAAAATTCTCAGAGAGATAAGCATCACTGCCTCCATCTTACTTGGTGGCAAATTTTCCACAGGGAGGTTCCTGAAGGCGAATGAAAGGGGAGAGGTGGCCTGTGCCAGGTCAGCCGAGTGGATGGATTCAGGAATTTCCTGGTGCTTTTGTTAAGGAACTCAGAGCACCTTCTAGACCTCCTAGATGTTCCCTTTGCTGTTGTTGCTGTGTTGTGTGTGTGTGTCTGTGTCTCTTCCTCCTTCCCTTCTCTCTCTCTCTCACACACCCTCTCTGCAATCTTTATAACTGTGACTATTACTACTACTATTATTTAATTAAAAAACTTACACACACACCTGGAGCTGTTGTAAACAACACAGGAATGTGTAAAGTCAGAAGCAAAAGATCCCTTGCCCGTCCCGTTTTCCAGAAATAATCGCCATCCACAGTTGGCTGTGTCTCCTAAACACATTTGTCCTCCTACGTCTGCACAAACGACCAGAGCGTATCTCCAAAACGAAAATAGGATTCGCTTTAATGCCTGCTCGCAGCTTACTTTTTCTCACATGACGGCACAGTTGGCGTTTTTCCCGTGACAGCACATTTGACAATCTTATTACAGAGGACTCGGATCCTGTTCCAACCCTGGGTTTAAACTGTGTCTGCGAAGTCAGCCCACAATTTATTAAACAATATTAACAGTGCTTCTTAGTGTTTCTGTCAAAGCACCTCTAACGAAGGGCGGAAACACTTCATTGGGCCCGGGGTGTCGCCTAACGCGCCTGCCGCAGCTGCCAGATTTCTTTGGAGTCTGTTGTTTTCTTTTACAAGTTCCTCTCATTTTAACCGTTATCTATCACCAGGGAAAGCCGATGGTTGAGAGAAATGCATATCAGGGTTTCCTGGCCTTTGCACACCTCCAGGGTGCCCGAGACTCGCTGTGAGCCTGTGGCATGTGCACACGTAGACGCTAAGAACTGAGTCCAGGAGTTGAGAGTTTTGGGTGGGTGAAGAGTGGGTCACGTGGGGGTTGGGGCCGTCTCACTTTGGGGTGTTGGACCCAGGAGGTCTCTCTGGAGCTTGTCTCCTCTTCAGTCTTTTAGTTTGCTCTGAAAATTATTGCCATTAGGGGTTAACCCTCTAGGGCAGTCAGCCAGCTCCATGGTGTCGCATATGGCGTTAACGCAGCAGAGCTGTTGACCAAGTTATTATCATGGAAAGCGGGGCCATAAAGCCAAGGAGATGTGCTTCATTGGGGGGCATTTAGGATGATGATGATAATGATGATGATGTCTAACACAGAGACAGGGCTTAGTACTGTGGGCCCCGCACTGTTGTAAGCTCCTTCCTGTACCCCCCATTTCACCCTTGAAGAGAGTGAGATTCAGAGATTAAATATCTTGCCCATGGTCGCAAGGCTAGTAGGTGATGGAAGGTATGTGTACACGCCTATACATGTATGTGCGTGGGTGTTTACACACAAGTGTGTGTTTATGGGATATGGTGCAGGAGCAAAGTACCTCCTGTTCTCTGCAGAATTGTGCAGTGGATTAGACCCAGCCTAATGGAGAAGATTCCTGAGCATCACTGATTTAGATTGCCTATGTAGTAGGAGTTACACGTCCATGTATGTGCAAATACCAGAGTGGTTTCAGCCAGTCCCAGTGGCCTGGAGTCAGAGGGTTGCCTTTCTCTGGAGGCCTTAGATTCTCGCCAGGAAAGAGGGCTACCTGGGGGATGGCTTGGTTTCTTTGTGGCCAATGTGACTGGTGGTGAACTTGGAAGGTTTGGTGCAAAGTTGGCCACCTAAGAGGCAGTGATAGCCCTGGGGTCATGGATGGATTAAAGCTTCCCCAGAAAAGAGTGAGGCTGGAGAGGAATCTTGAAACCAAGCCATGTGGCAGAAAGAACTGGGGCCGTTTAGTCCAGAGGACAGGAGGCTCAGGGGACAAGGGGCCTGTCTAGAGGAAGGGGATTTTGCTGCAGTCCCCAAGGGCATCCCCGGGTCTGTTAGGTAGAAGTTATGAAGATGAGCATTTACACTCAGTTTCAGGAAGTTAAAGGTGCCTGGCCGTGAAATGGTGCCTCAGAGGGAGGCAGTAGTGCATGTGGAAGTGCTAACGTTGTGTCCCTAACTTTGGCTCTCCCACCTGTTCAGGGAAAATGGTACCCTCAGGCTGGGTGCCCACCTGCCAGGTACATTGTCAGGTGTGGGGTTCCTTCGTGGCGGGTTGGACTTAGAAGTTTTTTACAATCTCGTTCAACTGTGGGCTTCCAGGCTGCAAGGTAGTTTTGCTCAGAGGCTGCCCTGTGGACCAGTGCAGGCCCATGACCCTGCAAACCAGTTGAGGGGCAAGCATCACCCCTCTGAGTTGTGCTGCGTGACTGTGGACTGGGTGTGCTGGGTGTTGCTGGGACCCTCCATAGTCTTTTTATGGCAGAGTCACTTCTCCCTGGAAAACGTCACAGCAAGACCAGGCAGTGACAATAGGGTGAGAGGGACGTGTGCTTTGTCTACCCATCCCCTCTCACTTCCCCCTTCCCAGTCTTGCCCCTGGCAGACCCCCTACGCTTCCCTTTAAAGCTGCCCAAATCTTTTTAGTCTGAAGGGAAAATACATTTTGGGTTTTGGAGACTCTGAGGTTGCTTCTGGGGTGGGGAGTTGGGGTGGCTGGGAAGAAGGGGTGGGAGGGAGAATTTTAGTATAAGCCATTTGTATCTTGGGAGCAATATGAACATATTATCTCTTCAAACAACACAAGAAAATAAAGTTACTTTTCCCAGAAGATCTGCAGGTGTGGAGAGCGTGCCCTTGCTCAGGATGGTGGTCTAGCGGGCGTTGGTGCGGGAGGCGATTAGAGCCAAGGGGAGAACACAGGCTCCAGAAACTGCCTGCGTTCAAATCTCTGCTCCACCATTCCCTCACTGCGTAAGCCCTCAGAGCCTTCGCTTGCTCATCTGTAAAAGGGGGGCACGCTTGGTAAAGTAGAGGGTCAGTGAAAGAGATGAAGACCCTCGATGAGATGGATTAACCCAGGCTACACCAGTGGGCTTAAGCATAACAATGATTATGAGGATGGCACAGGACCGGGCAGTGTTTTGTTCTGTTGTACGCAGGGTTGCTATGAGTTGGAACCAATTCAATGACACCTAGCAACCACATGTACCAGTGAGGAGCCCTGGTGGCCCACTGGTTAACCACTCAGCTGCTAACCGAAAGGTCAGCGGTTTGAACCCACCAGCCACTCCACGGGAGAAAGATGTGGCAGTCTGCTTTCAGAAAGATTGCTGTTGTTGTTGTCAGGTGCCATTGAGTTGGTTCCGACTCACAGCGACCCTATTTACAACAGAACGAAACGCTGCTCTGTCCTGTGCCATCCTCACAATCGTTGCTATGCTTGAGCCCATTGTTGCAGCCACTGTTAATCCATCTCGTTGAGGGTCTTCCTCTTTTTTGCTGACCCTCTACTTTACCAAAAAGTGCCATAAACATTACAGCTTTGGAAACCCTATGGAGAAATTCTACTCTGTCCTATAGGGTCACTATGAGTTGCAGCCGACTTGACGGCACCTAGCAACCAGAAAAAGAGTCCCTCTGCCACAGCCTCGCTGTGGGGAGTAAATGGATAAATAGATGTAAAGCACTTCGAATGGCTCCTGGCGCAGAGTGGGTGGTCCGTACAGGGCTAGCTGTTGGAATCGTTGTGGTTATTATTGCTGTATTCATGCCACATACACATCCTGATAGACTCCTTTTCGTTCTGTGGGTCAGGAGAACGGCTTTGCTCATAGTCAAGGAGGCAGAACCCTTTAACAGAATATTGACAAATCACACAAGTTGTAGCTTCTCTCACTGGATGGTATAATGCCTTTTTTATTTTAAGAGAAGCAGAGAAATTTTTTCTTCTTCCGAGCTTTGTAATTAAATGTGCACATGCCTATTATAGAAAAATTAAGGACGTAATCATGCAGAAAGCACCGTGCGCCCCGGCCCCCGGAAATCCTCCCGTTTAGAGAGAACCGCTGTACTTGTTTCCGGCGGCGCTGGTGGTTTGCCGTCAATTGACCCGGACAGAGTGACCGTATATGACAGAGTAGCACTGCCCCACAGGGTTTCCCAGGCTGTAATCTTTATTGGAGCAGATCGCCAGGAGTTTTCTCTTGTGGAGCGGCTAGTGGGTTTGAGCCACCAACCTTACAGTTAGCAGTCGAGCACTTAACCGTTGTGCGACCAGGGCTCCTCATTGGTTCCTGGGCCCTCCTTTATAGAGTAACACAGAGTGGGTGGCTTAAAACAAGAGAAATTTATCTTCTCACAGTCTGGCGGCTAGGAGTCCAAATCCAGGGTGTCAGCAGGGCCACGCTGTCTCCAAAGGCCTCGGGAAAGATTCGTCCTCGCCTCTTCCAGCTCCTAGTGGTCCTGGAAATCCTTGACTTTCGTTGGCCTGTGGATGCGCCACTCCGGCGTCTGCCTCCATCCTCACGTGGCTGTCTTCCCTCCGAGTCCCTCTGTGTGTCTGTTCCTCTTTGTCTAAGGACACCAGTCATGTTGGATCAGGGCCCACCCTACTCGGAGTGACCTCATGTTAATTAATGGCGTCTTCAAAGACCCTGCATCTAAGCGGGGCACAGTCACAGGGACGGGGGTTAGAACTTCAACGTGTCTCTTAGGGACACAAGTCAGCCCTGAACAACCACTGCGTGTATTTTGGCCTCCAGCCCTCTGAATGTATCTTGGCATAAACATGCGAAGTCAGAGAATTCTGTACGTACTGTTATCGAACCTAGCCATTAAAAACTATGCTGGAAATACACGAGCGTGTTCAACAGTAGTGAGTAGTGAGTGCCTCTGATGGGTTAGGCAAAGGCTGGGATTCTCCTCACAGTCGCCTGTGTGACTGGTTCAATTATCCCATTGCTAAGTGGGGAAACAGGCTCTCAGAGGTGAGGTAACTTGCCCAAGGTGACCCAGCTCAACAGTGGTTCATAAGCAGGCCTCTCGTCTCTGTCTCTCCTAGACCAATGTCTGCAGACTGTGGCTGACGGTACCACCTGAGAGCCCAGCTTCTGAGCACAGTGAAAAGAAGACTGAAAGAAAAGAGCAGGTAAGCCATCTCCGAGATACAGCTCTGACAGGTTCTAATCTTTGTACTGTCTTTCAGCCCTGCCCCCTCCAGCTCCGGGTCGGTCCCCGTGATTCACAGAGTCTGGACGTCAGCAACCCTGCTGATAAAAGGCCCTGTGGACCTGCCCGCCTCGCCTCACCTCTTCCCAGAGCCAGACGCCCTCCCAGTGGGCTCTGCCGCCTCATGCCCCTTCCCCCCTTCTTGGTGAACACTGTGGCTCTGTGTGGCCCCGAAGCATGTAGGGACACCAGTTTTGGTGACAGGTGCTGTGGCAGGGGGTGTACTTTTTCCTGAAACAGCCCAGTCTGCTTGAGTCAAAGGGCCCATTGTGAGCGGCCTGTGGGGCCAAAGCCTTCCAGCTCCGCAGAGACTAGGCCACCTGGGAAGGAAGAGCTTAAGCAGGCAGCCGTAGTAGTACGGGGCAAAGGGACTCGGCTGGGGGAGGAGGAGGTCAGCAAGCATTTTCGTGCCAACGCCTGTGCTAAATGGAGATAAATATGACCTTGTCCTTGCCATGGGGAAACTCACAGTTTTTCAGGTGAGATAAACGTCTCAATAAACAATGATGATGTGACGTTCAAGTGTTAGGATCCAGAGATGGTAGACGGGATCTGGGGACACAGAGGAGAATCACTGACCACGTGGAAGGTGACATTGAAGGGGAGCCTTGTAGGATAGATGGGAATCCTGCCTGCCTCGAGGCTGTGGTCCTGGGCAAGCTTTTCCTTCATTCGCCAGCAGCTGTGAGGCACCTGCTGTATTCCAAGCTCTGTTTCGGCCCCTGCTAGTACCATAGGGAGCAAAGCTGGAAACAGAACATCCCTGCCACCCACAGAGCTTACGCTCTAGTGGGAGGAGAATGAAAATAAACAAAATAATTAAGGACATTTTACAGTGTTTCAGACAGTGGTAAGTAGAGACAAATAAAGCAAGAGAAGGGACAGGAGGGCTGGGGGTAAGTGGCATATATTTCTTCTGCAGGTATTTTATATGAGTATAAAAAGTGATATGATATACTTATCGGTTACGTAAGTGGAGTGCCAGGACAGTGACTTTTTGAAATATAAGTATTGATTAGGAGTTAACCAGTAATGTGGTAAACTTTAAAAAATGAAGCTTCTCATGGGCAGTAAATGGTTGATAACTCATGCCCCTAATTTTACTGTAGACCTTCGTCCCTCCTTCCTTCCTCTCACCCCCTTCTTCCCGCTTTCTACCCGGGACAGAGGGCTACCTGTGCTAATACAGATGGTGACCTGAATGACTGGGAAAGGTGGTGCTATGGCTAGAGAAAGGGGGGAGAATGTAAAGTTGCTTGTCTGTGTAAAAAGTGAGGGTGCGTCCCACCAAAGGGAACCAGGAAAACAGCTCGTCCCAGGGTGGAGCAGGGAAGGTATAAGGTGAGTCTGGGACACCTTGCTGAGCTGGGAAGCAAGGGAGCACTCGAGGATGAATGGAGTCATATTTGAAGCACCCAGGCCATCTCACTGCTAGAGCAGAGCCACCAGCTGCTGTTGAGTGGACTCCGACTCATGGTGACCCCTCTGCGTCAGTAGACCTGTGCTCCACAGGGTTTTCAGTGGCTGATTTTTCGGAAGTAGATTGCCAGGCCTTTCTTCCAAGGCACTTCTAGGTGGACTTGAACTCTTGCCTTTTGGTTAGTGGCCGAGGACATTAACCATTTGCACCACGCAGGGACTCCCTTTAAAGCAATGGGACACTCTTTTTTTAAAATAAAAACATTATACTGAGCCCTAATATATAAACCAGGTGAGAGTGGCTCTTCTCTGGCTGAAGCACCGCTCTATCCCCCCCTGCCCCCAGAAAGCCCCCTGCAGGTACCTGAGAACTCCAGGGCTCTGAGGAGGAGGGGAGGAAACCACGGGGTTGGAGTGTGCCCCTGTTGAACCAGGTGTGCAGTCTGACTACCTGCCTAGGATGCATTGGTGACTCAGTGCAGAAGAACTGGGGTAGAGAGCAGGAGGGTGGAGCCTGGCTGTCTCCCCAGGTCTGAAGTCCTTGGCTGGTGGCAGCACTTGAAGGTACTGGTGGTAACCAGGAGGCTGTTGTAGGTGTTTTTGACCCCATGCCCTGGCCAGGTTTCTGGGCATGAGTCGTTGGGAGCCAGCACCCTGGAAGGCCACCTCCTCTGATGTGACTGCTGCTCCCTGGGACATTGTAGCCCACAAACTTGCAAGACGCCTAGAACTCTGGGCAACCCTCCCTGGTCAGATGACTTTGGGCACTCTGGAGAGGGGTCTGCTATGTGCAGAGGCAGAGGATTGGAGCTGGCTCACACATGCAGGCAGGGAGATGTCAAGGGCCCAGGTGGCTTCTGATGGAGGGAGACTTCTTGCAAGCTTTCCACGGCCCCTTTAGAGCTGCAGCAGATTGAGGGCAGGGCTGGGCCTTGTCCTTTGACACAGTCGTAGAAGATGCTTAGTGTATGTCGAGGACCTGGGATGCTAAGGGGCAGCCAGCTGCACACCGATGCCACTGCCAGCTGGGCCGTTCTCTGCCCGCCGTTCCCAATCATTGAGGGGAGGAATTACTCACGATGGAGGACATGGCAGATGGCACGTCCCCAACTCCACGAACGTGAGTCAGGAGGCATCTGGAGGCAATTACAAAACCATCGGCATCTTTTTCTTTGAGTCATGGGTTCATGGGATGTGTTTGGGGGGCTTCCTACCCCTAAGGCCGATGCCCTGGCCGCCTGTTCCCTTGGGTCCTTTTCTTCCAGGAGATACCACCTGCCCCGAGTCGGCTTTCTGCAGATGAGCTCCCCAAACACCTGGTTTCGCTGATGCTCAGTCTTCTCATCTGTAAAATAGGCATAATCACTCCTGGTTGCAAAGAGTTAAATGAATCTGATGGAGTCATCTTGGAAATGGGGCAGAGGATGTTAGCAGAACGTTCAGAGGGTGTATGGGGGTGAGAGGAGGAGAGAGGGGAGGCCACGGGGAGGCAAGTGCCTGGGCCCCTTCCTTCCTTTCCTTGGGAGCCTCCCCCACCCTCATCCTCCCAGCAGATTCCCTCTACTCCTTCCCTCCTATTTCCTCCAGGGCCGAATCCCTTCTCGCTGAGAGCATGACCCCTCCTTCTCTAGGATAACTTATTTTTATTAGAAGCTTCTTCCCCAAACAACCTTCCTGAGGGATTCAGACCTGGACCTTGACCCCCTCTGAGATGAAACAGCAAATGAGATCAGAGGGTAGAAGAAGATGATGCTATTCCTCCTTTAGAATATATGAACCGAATTTTGTTACACAGAACATAAAGGCCAGAATATCAGAATTTTGATGTTGTTGACATGTAGCACCCCTGGTTGGGCTGCGGGACTCAGAACCTGCCTGTCACTTCCTCTTGCGTGGCCACATTTCCTCCAGACTCAGCCTGTCTAAAACTAACTCAACAATGCTTCCTTGCTTTTTGTTTTGTTCTTGTTCTCCCAAACACATGACACGTATCCCTCCCTCCAAACCCTCACTAAGGCCTAGCCGTGCCTGGAGCCTCTTCCGCCGTCTGTCAGTGTATCCAGGCCCTCCCTGGGGTTCAAGGCTCGGCTAAAGCCCACGTCCTCTGGGACCTCCCCCGACTCTCTGTGCTTCGGGCCCTATCCCCCTTCTGCAGGCTGTCCCACCTGCTGCTCTCTCTCGAGGTGGGACCAGCACCGGTCACTATAGGATTATCATCTTGAATCAAATGGTTTGCGTTGAATGTGAGGGGGCCCTGTTGATCCCGAGGGTGTCTGATGGTGAGGCCTTTGCAAGTTCATGTTGCTTGACGCAGCTGACACATTGGGTAGCTGTTAGCGTCCCACCCTCCCAGCATTGCGGGTGGCCTTCAGTGGCCTGTTTCTGAAGAAGCTGTTTCTCTTTGAGGACCCCGAGTGAGGGACCCCCACATGATGTGGTAGATGTAAAGGCTGGGACTTTCCTAGCCCCGTAAAATGTCTGAAAGGAGGAAACCCTTGCCATGGGGTTTGATAGCCCCCGATACTGGCAGCGGGTTTTCCTTTAAAGCCCCTGGGTAAGTAAGCCCGCTGACATCTGGCCCTGGTGGCTGTGTGCACAACAGCGCGGGCTGTTGCCAGGGGAGGCAGAGCACTGCCATGATTCAGTCCTGTGTGACAGCGGGCAGGACTGCTGCCTCGCAGATAACAGCCTGCGATGCTGGGCAGAGGCCCGCACGCCTGTCCTGGCTCCCTCAGTGGCCCCTGCGGGCGTTGGCCAGTCCTGTCATCTACAGGGCTTCTGTGACCTCATCTAGCAAGTGGAAGTGTTCGTGGAGAGCCAGCGGTTTTCAGACTTCTGTAGCTGGGAGATTTTTTATTCTAACAAATACATGTCAAACAGTGAAAATGCAGCGATTGTGATTTAAAGTAAGGCCAGGGCTGCCCCCAGCAGCCTCTTCCTACCCCAACCTTATTAGACACCGAGGAGGAGCTGGGGATAATATTTACAGACCCACTGGACTCACACCTCTTTTCAATTTTTCTAATATTCTGAGACTTTCTGATTCTCTCCCCATGAGGAGAAACCAATGCCAGTTTTGGGGCAAATTTGATGAACCGCTAAAAAGATCCAAAAGAGAGGTGGGTAGATAGAGCATCCAGACAGACACGCAGAGTTCAGTAAGAACCCAGAAATGCCAGAAGCCACAGCACTAAGAACAGCACCCGCCATCTTTCGTTGCGTGTCAGTTGCCCGCCCAGCAGCATTTTGGTGTTGGGTGCCGTCCAGTCGATTTTGACTCCTCGTGACCCCATGTGACGGAGGAGAAGCACCCCTGGGGTTTTCTCAGTAGTAATTTTTATGGAAGCAGACTGCCAGGTCTTTCTCTCATGGAACCCCTGGGTGGGTTCAAACTGCCAGCCTTTCACTGAGCAGCCGAGCGTGCAACCATCTTACCACCAGCTCATGCTGGGTGTTTGTATATTACTTCCGGTATTCCTTAGGATAGCCTTCTGAAGTTGG